ATGCCTGGTTCATGGTAAAAGTGCAAAGTTATTCTTATCAATATCACTAGTATTACTATTATGATTGTTGTGTGTATGTGTGCGTACCTGTTCATGTGCATGTGTGTGGGCATACGTATGGAGATCAGAGGTTGGTCAATATCGAGCATTTATTTATATTTATTTATTTATTTACATAGGGTCTCTCAATGAACCTGGAAATCACCCGTTTAGGTAGTCTGGCAAGCAAACCTCAGGATTCCTCTTGCCTCTCCCCACCCCCTTTTGGGGTCACAGTGCACACCACTGTGCATGGCTTTCATGTGGGTGTTGGGGATCTAAACCTAGGTTTGGGGTAGCTGACTAGGCTGCCTCTCATGCTCTTAGTGCACATTTAAGTAAGTGGATAGATGCCTTGTCTCATGCCACCATCATATTGACCATTTAAATAGGTTAAGATAATTACTCTGAGGTACAGATGATGATATTTATATGTAGTTAAGCACATGGGTCCCACGATCAGGCTCTCTGACTTGAAATCTGAGCTTCTACAGGTAGCTGCCTTTAGTCTGATCTTTCTAGAACACAGGGTGCTCATTCTGTAGTGAACGTGTCATGTCTCTTGAAGTGATATAATAGAAACATGAGACAGTGACCTAGTACACAGTGGGCACTTAGAGAACATAGTTACCAATATCATCCAGGATGCCACAGGGTGACACGATCTTCTCTCAAGTTTACACCTTAAACACAGACACTCTTTCGTCTTCCTCAGTTTACAAATTTTGAGAAGCTATCTTTGACAGATTCCACATTCCCCTTTTGTCTGTGGCATATGTGCAACACTTGCCACACAAGCCATATATGACTGACTGCCCTTGACCCCATGACAGTACAAGGAGGCAAGAAGAGGTGGCTTGCCCTTCTCCAAGGTTCTGATTCATTCCTTTTTCTAGATCTCCTCTGCCATTAGTTATGAGAGGCTCGATGGAGAATGTCCACAGAACAGAAAAGGAAAACTTCTACCAAGCACTTGGGGACAACAGCATCTCTATCCCCCTGTCTACCCTCTGCTGACATCAGATTAAGCTTCTAAGGCATAATCTTTTGTCCCTACCAGCTCTCGTCCCTCCAAATTGTGTTACTTTCCTAGGTCATCTTGCCTCCCAGAGGCAAAAATGGGGATGATAATGATGCATACTTCTAAGAAATGAGGGGAAAATAACTACGCAAACATACTTTGTGGTGCCTGCCACAGAATGATATCCAGTTTCTTTCTATACATGAGTCATTCCAAATTGATAAACTCCTACCCATCCTTCAGTGCCAGCCCAAATATTCTCTTACTGTAAAGTCGGCTCAGACATCAAGATGGAAGCATCTGATGCCTCCAGGACACACTGTGCTTGCTCCCACCACTATTGTGACGGGCACTCTAGACAGCCACCAACTGCTTGAGTGTCAAGTATACTCCATTAGAAGGCAGCTTGGCACCAAAAGGGACTAGCTATTATGTTTTAATGGTCCTGAAGGTGCCAGGGGAGGAAAGAGATAATTGTTAGACTGGGGCTAGGATAAGGAGGTGAAATAACCTGTTTACCAATTTGTGTGTAATCATTTCAACAAGCATCAAGGGACTGGTGTCCACAGCCACAATTCTTCTCTAATCACACTGACTGTTAGTTCTTTCAGTTTCTCAGTGATCAAGCAAGAGACCCTATGGTCACCTTTAACAAACCAGTTAACAAACCAGGATCCAGTTCAGAGGCAAGACCTTCATTTGCATAGTCATATATGCAAAGCACCTCTTGTGATGTCATGTACCTGCACTTGACTGTTTTCAAAAGGGTTCTGTCTGTGGAGCACTGGGACCTGGGGCACAGGAGGCTTCTGGTGCTTAGGTCTTCAATTCATCTGCAACATCTGTGTCTTGTCCTAGAATTCCATCTCAAACCCCACCTCCAATCTTCAGTTTTCCTTTCCATTGGCTAAATACTGCTCATATTTAGTTTTCTGGGTCTTCGTTACATTCTCTACCTGCCCTAATCCTAATGTTCTTTCCTGTCAGCCAAACTTCTGCCTCATATTAGCCTCCATTGTCATACTTGCCCTTTCCCTGTTGTCACCTCATTTGTCTTTCCCTTTAACAGCCACAGACACTTTCTTCTCTGTTCATCAGATTGCCAGAGCCAAATTCCAGCCTAACTCTTTAATAGATGCTCAGTAGATGTGAATAGACTTGAAGGAATGATTGACATGTGACTCATGCAAATGCCTCTGCTGATCTAGCAAATGGAGAAAAAAATCTTGGGTCTGGAACTCTTCAGAAATCTGTGGCGCACCTGGAATCTTCTTTCGCTTCTACCATAGTAATGGAGAAGATGAAAAGGGGGGCCAAGAATAGAGGGAGCATGGGATCAGATTTTAGAGTGTATTTTAATAAATCCAGTAGCCAGACAACCTCAACCAGGGTGAGTGTAGCCATATTGGATGCATCCACTATTTATGATGGAAAGAAAATTCTCCAGAGAGCAGGACGCTGACTCTCATCCCTGTTTACCCATTAGTTTATGCAAGCTGGGAACTACACTTTAGTTATTACTGTTATCTTTGCTATGGCCTCTACCTCCTCTGTTGTTGTGCCTATAATACTGATGGCACCAGCAGCAAGCATCATGTAGCATTTGCCACTCACCAATTGCATTGTAAAATGTTTACTCACAGCTAGTCATTGTGACTTCATGGCAGTCTTATGAACTAGATCTCACTAGTTGCGTTGTTTTCAAACTTTGAGGAAACAGAGACACAGAGAGGTGATGTGATGAGCCCAAAGTTCTATAGAAGGGATCTAGAATGTAATCAGAGTTTTGTTCTTGTACCAAACAATGGGCTCAATGATTATCTTTCAAAGAAGGGACTGTAGGTATGTATGTATGTATACATGCATGTATGTATCCATGAATGTATTCTATGTTTGCATGTATATACATGTGACTGTATGCATGCATGCATCTATACATGCACATATATGCATGCATCTATACATGCATGCATGTATATACGTATTATCTATCTTTCTTTTTACAGCTGAAGAACTGTGATCTTATAAAGGATTTGGCTGCACAATAATAATCCTCTATTTTTTAAACAACCCTACCTTTCCAAGGCCATCATTACTCTCTTATGCATCTCTACTTTTGTTCTTAATAATCAAAGCAGTGGGAGAGAGGTGAGCTCTTAAGGCCTCTTCATAAGGACTAGCTTACTGTTCTTCTAAGAGGTATTGGGCTCCTGGGGGATATGGAGGCTCTGGGCAAGGAGGCTCCTGGGGGACATGGGGAATTACACACCACTGCCACCAGGAACCTGTGTTCTGGAAAAAAATTGTCAAGAGCCAATCTGGTAACCTTACTGGTAAGTGAAGGAAGACAGATGTAGTTATCGGCAGCATCTTCACACATGTAAGCTTCTTAGGAAACCCATTCTAGGTAGGTGAGTGAGTATAAGTCAGGTGTTGCCATTGGTATATTGTAGCTAAGGCCAGTTGGGGCTTCTACGTAGTTGACTACAGGCACTAGTACATGGGAGACTGGGCAGCCATAGCTAACTCAGGAACATTCTTCTGACTCTTACTGCTACCATTCAGATTTACTTATACTTTTTCCACAAATGAAGTCATCACACCCATTTCCCAGCTGAGGAAGTTGAGGCTTATGGAGGTGGGTGGGTGAGTTGAGTAGTCAAGACTCAAACCCTGGCCTCTATATTCTTTGCAGCACAGAAGGTTTGGGGAATTTAGGGAATGAGAGAGTGCAGGTGGGGGCTTGACACCTGAACATTCTCACAGACATCTTTGAGGATGAAGTACTTAGGAAGAGCACAGTTAGACATGCATGAGATTGAATAAAATTAGATCCTGATGACACAAGGTACCTTGATGTGGAGAAGAATTTTCTAGAACATACTGGAAATAGCTGTCATTTCAGCAAGGCCATGCTGCTGCTTATTGTCATCTCCCTCCTGACCTTCCCACAGGGCCCCTGAACTCCTGCTTGTTTCCACCTCATCCTTACTAGGGGGAACCCCTCTCCTTGCACATTGAGGTCCTACTGTATCTGGAAGATAGGCTCCCTTCAGAGCTGCTGTCTACAATCTTGTAGCATGTCAAGGCTGACTCTCATCCTGCTCGTCTCCGTGTCTCCTCAAAGTCCACATACTTCACATACTTCCTCTTATAGAATAGTCCCAACCACCTCAAATGGAATCAGTGCTTCAAGTTTACCCAGTGAGAACACTGAGGTGGCATAATCTGCCCAGCTAGGAAGATGTTAAGTTAGGTCTTAAATTCAGATCCATCCCACACCAAAGTGTTCAAGGTCACACACCAATTACTTCTTGTTGACCCAAGGGAGGAATTTTCTGCTTTTTTTCATTGCTGGGCCATTACGTTGGATTCACCATTGTCTCATTCTGTGACTTTGCCCCAAATCCTAGCCTCTTCGAATTTTGATGTTTCTGCTCCATTTGTGGGAGGGATGAGTGACAGTAACTCAGCCCTTGACACCTGAGACTTCATGTGTAAACACACAAGAGGACTCAGGTCAAACTCCAGTTAATAGGAGGAATCAGATCCCAGCTGTCAATCAGTGTCACCAGCCAGCTGGCGTAAGAGATGCAGACTTAATATAAAAGCCAAAGTCTTTCCCATGTCAATGGCCCCTTTCTTCTTCCCATTCCTAAGAAACCTCTCATACATGTCATCTGGAGGCCAGTATCTGTGTTCCAACACTCCCACCCCCACCCCTGGAAATACGAGCATTTTAGTTTCTCTTCCTCTGTCTCCCCAGAGTGCTGTTAAGGCTGGTGAATGACCATCTGGATAATCAACAATGAGATCTGGAGCAAGTGGGGGATTTACCCAAAATTGAATTAAAAGGTAGCATACACTGCCCTGAACTTGAACCTCCACCTCCCCCAAGAGTCATGGCAAGGCTGGCGTAGGGAATGTGCAGAATACTTACTACACCCCTGGCTGACAGGAAGCCGAGCCTCTGGAGGGGCTGGCTGGGCAGGTGGCTGGTCCGGGCCTCTGGGCTGACCTTGCAGTGGTTCTTGGAGCAGCGGCGGGAGTGTGTTTGGCGGGATTTCCGCCCTTCCTCAGGAGACCGACCTCGGTGCCTGGGGAGCAAGAAAGAGATACCTCCTGAAGGCCTTGGGAAGAGAGCATGGTGGAGAGATGGCTGGGCAGCCAGCATGTCATCTGAGAATGACAGAGTGTAATTGTGCATGTGTTTGTATGATTTTGTCTCTGGGAATGGTGGATTATGCTTATACACATCCATCCACCCTTCATTACTCATCCACTCATCCACCCATTCATCCATATGCCCACCCACACACCCACTGACCCACCACTCATTCGTTCATCCACCGGTCCACTGACTCATCATCCATCCATCAGTTCACCCATGTCCATCCATCCATCCATCCTCTATTCTTCCATCTGCTCATCAATCCATTTGTTTACTCCTCCAGCCACTTACCCACCACTCACCCTCACCCATCCATCATCCATCTCTCTACCCACCCATCCAATGACTCATCCATATATCCACCATCCATCTATCCATCACCTATCATTTATCTATTTACCCACCTACCCATCCATTTACCAACCATCCTTCCATTCATCTATCCCCCTCCTGTCTATTTGGTCATTCTCTTATTTGTTCATTTCTCAAATATTTATGGTTTCAGCCACGAAGACAAAAGAGGTCCCTTATTTCATCTCATTTAATGTCCCCCATGTGCTTGTGATTGTCTCTTGGTTCTGCATGTTTGAGTATGCCTACCTCTGTTTCCATGAATACCCATGCTGTCTTTGTGCATGTGACTTTACTATTTGTGAAATGGAGCCATTCTATTGATCATCACCCACAATGTTGAGGGAAACATGCCTAATAAAAATGACAGAGACTCCTTGTGTAAGCAAGATTTGTCTTATCTGCTGTAGAAACCAGAGGCATGCCCGACCCCTTAGAATATCCACCCATGTAACTCTCTGAGTTACAGGTGTAAACACAAACACTACCATATGAATTTGCAGTCACCTGGAAATCCTTCACACGCCTCCCTGTATCCTGAAGACATAGATGGGATGGGTGTTACTTTCAAGTTTTACAAATGGGAGGACTGAGATTCAGAGATGTTTAGGCTCTTGTTTGAGGTCACACAGCTTAAAAGTGGTCAAATCAGGTCAGGATTTTCACCTTTAAGAATCGTCTTTTTTGATTCTGGACTCTCCCTGCTCTAAGTCTTCCAGATCATTCTCCTGAATATATATATATCACACAACCAGCTCTTGATTTGCTCTCAGGCCTTCTGAGTGGTTTCAAAGGCACCAGGAAGCTCAGTTCAACATGAGACAGTTGGAGGCAAAAGTCTGGAATGTGTGATGCTAGTCCTGTCCCTAACAGGCAACCTTCTGGGGTCCTATACAATTCTCTGAAAGATGGTTGACCCAGGGGCGGAGGCAGGGGCTTAGCTCAGTCACACAAAGCTGGGACCTGACTATAATAGGGTGTCACTGTGAACTTGTCACACAGCACTGGGGACAAGTGGCAGGTGCTATGGGGGGTGTCACAAAGTGCCAGAGGCATTGCCCTGGCTGGATATTGTCAGAAAGCGGGCTGAGGCATGACTAGATTGAGGCTAAGTCTGTGATCACGGAGGAAGCAACCTCCACTCACGCTAGCTGGAGTGCATGCGCCTGGATGCTTGTGCATTGAGGACAAGTTCTCGTTCCATTTGGAGTCTGCCCTTCACATTGGTGGGTCTCATTTGTGTCTTTGTAAATCAGAGTGCTGTGTGGCTTCATCTGTCAGCCCTGTTTGCAGCTGGAGTCCAGCAGAAGCACAGGGGTTGACTTGGGAGGGGACATGTCAGGTCCTCAGTGACAGAGCTTCTCACACCTGCTCTGTGTTCATATTCCCTGGGAAACTTTGCAGTCTTTCTGCCTAGCTGGGGGTCACTAGAAGGTGGGACTCATGGAGTCAGACACTAGAATTAAAAAAACAATTCTGAGGTGACAACAAAGTACAGACAATGTAGAAAATCATATCACGCTCATAGGGTCATGGAGGTCAAAGAGAAAGGGCTTGGAATCAGTCCAGAGTCTGGCACAAAGACAAACATTCCTCCTCCCTCCTCTTGATCATCCTCCTCCTCAACCTCGTTTCCTCCTCTTCCTCAATCTCTTTCCCCTCCACTTCCTTCTCTTTCTTATCTGGCCATCTTGTTGCATTGGAACAAGGTGAGCTTCTGACACGCTCCCATCCCCGGGTATCGTGAATGAGCATTTGAAGACAGAGAAGTCCCTGGCACCAGGAGCCAGCTTTGGTCCTCCTGCCACACATCAACAATTCCAAATGTTCCCATCCACAAAACCTTCTCCCTCTCCTCATCCACAAGAGCATGCCACTGCCATCATTCTCAGACCAGGACAGGCGATGCATCAGCAAAGGAGCCCTCAGCATCAAGAGAAAGCTGACTTGGAAGGGCCTCAGAACCTGGTACTTTGTGCTGTGTATCTTTTCATAGGTGGCTCAGCTTCTCTGTTCTGAGAATGGAAAGTCTAGAGCTGTGATACTAGCAGTGTCACTCAGTTGCTAAGTAGTGAGTTCTTTAAAGCCCCGATGCCTCAGTTTCCTCGTCTTCACAATGGGACAATAGGATTGCCCTCAAGGGACTGTAGGTCCCGGAGTTGGCATCACCAAAGGCACTTAGCAAGCCTTTGTGCCAGCAGGGGGCTACTATTGTGCCCCTTCTGCCTGCAGTTGCTGGCAGCAAGCCTGGGCAGTTCTGGCCTGGAGAGCAAGGGACAGAACCTGGGTCAAGCATCCTTGGGGCTGGTTGGATGAGAAGCAGGGGCAAAGGGGTTACCTGCTCTCACAGGTTGGATGAGGAGAGGGGCAAAGGGGTTACCTGCTCTCACAGCTGGAGGAGCGCAGTTCTGAGCTCTGAGACCTGGAGGGGCAGCGGTGGTGTCTATGGCGGTGAGATTTCCGACTTCGAGATCTTTGGGTGAGGAGAGAGAGAGAGAGAAAGAGAGAGGGGGGAGGGAAGGAGGGAGGAAGGGAGGAAGGGAGGGAGGGAGAGAGGCAAGGAGAGTGATGGATGGGGAAAGAGAGGGAGAGAAGAGCGAGTCATTGATTTTGATCTTGTGATACACAAATCCCAGAATTCATACCCAAGAGTAGTCTAGGTCACTCCCAAGGGGACTGATCTCCCAGCCTCACAGCCCAGCTTCCTGCCAGCATCTTCAGGGCTCTTTGCCCAACTGGGCTGAGCACAGGGAAGTAGAAAGGGGCCTTTGTGGGGAATGTGGATGACAGTTGGCTTGACGTTTGTCCTCATGCTAGAAGCAGTCCTGGCACAAACCACACCCCAGCCAGGAAGTCGCCCTCTGCAAAGCCTCCCCTGTCTCTCTCAAGGTCAGGAACCTGCGTTTTGTTCCACTTCAAAGACCAGCCAGGTTCTAGCAAAAATACTGACCGGTGGCCTGGGTGGAAGAGAAAGGGTCTGCTGTGCCTCCAGCCCCCTCCCTCTGCTGAACCTTCCAATGTGTCGAGCACATGGAAAAACAAACACAGGCTTTTAATGTAAAATATGCCTGTCTTAAAGAGATACTCCTTTAAAACCAAAAGGTAACCTTTGGTGTGCACAAAACTATCTGCAGAGTCTACTGGGTCTTTCAGTTGCCAGTTTGTGACCTTGGACCTGGGACGTGAGGTCTGGGGTCCTTAGCGTGGAGTCAAAAGCCCGGCAACCATTAACAGCAGCATCACCCTGATTCACTTTAGCTAATCCCAAGGATGGGGCCCAATGCAACTGAGGATGATCGAAGAAAGTCATGTGTGGTGGCTCATGCTCAAATCCCAGTGCTTGGGAAGCTGAGGCAGGAGGAGCACTGTGAGTTTGAGGCTGCCTTGAACTAGTTCAAGCATGACCTGGGAAACATAGTAGGACCCTCTCTAAAAGCAATATAAAATGAAGGGTGTGCAGAATGTGGCCACTCAGGAATCTGCCTGTTCATCTCAGTGAAGGAATTAGATTCTTCTGACACGACTATCAGGCCATATCCACTCCCTGATTCAAACCTCCTCACTGCTCTACATTCTGGGCAGACTCTGGTCTTGAACTCCAGGCTCCTTTAGGAGCTGGCCCTGCCTGGTTCTTCACCTGACCTAGCTGTCAAGTCTCTTCTGCACTGACCTGCCTGACGCAAGCAACAGTAGATGCTTGTGTTTGTTTTGGCACAGACAGCAATGGTCTCAGTATCACCCGTATCTAATGCATTCTTCAGGTCCAGGCATTGCCTTCTAAGAATTTTCCTTCCAGGGATTCTGCTGTTCTTTGTAACAACCGCTGGAGGTGAGTCCTTTCTCTAGTCCCATGGCACAATGAGTACCGAGAGCAGAGAGTTGAAACTATGTCCCTAGAATGCGGCTTAGGGTCCCCTCCTGAGGAAACCACCCTCACCGCCACGCCCCTTTTCTTCCCGCTGGTGTCCAACCTGTGTCCCAAGCTTTCCTCCTCCACTTCCCGCCCACACCACTTCCTGTGCTCACTGCTACGTGCCAGGGCCTCGTGAAGACATGTTGGACGAAAGGAAGCTAACTCTTGCGCAGCTTGGTCAGAACAACCCTGGAAGCCCCTGGGATTCTTGCTCTCCACCCTGCCTCGTGTAACCACGTGTCCAGCGTTCTGATGGTGAACTTCTGGCAACGGCTGGGGCTTGTCTGGCTTTTCACTGCAGAGGGGGCCCCTTCAGTACCATCAGCTTTTCACTGCAGAGGGGGCCCCTTCAGTACCATCAGGATTGCTCCCAGTGCTCTTAAGGCAGACGGGGCCCAAGGCTACTGGTATCTGAGAACATATGGGTGTGTGCTGAGTGAAAACTCCAGAGCCAAGCTCCCTGGCTCCAACACACTCACGCCACTACTCCAGTGCCTCTGTCTGTTCATCCTCGCAATGGGAGGACAACAGGACCCACTTCAGAGAATTATAGAGGGAGCCATGCGATTAATAATTTTTCTTTTTGGTTTCATTTAAAGAAAGTGGCCAATAGGGAAGTTCTTCCCTGGTCTTACTGGAGTCTCTCCTCCCTTCTGGAGCATGGCCCATGTCTCTGTGGTACTGAATGGAATGTCCTCCCCTGTGCTGACCTTGAGCCAAGGGACCCTTTGAGGCAGCCACACTGAGCACCCTCCCTCTCCGCCCTGCCTTTTCTTTCCTCTCCTCAGAAGCTGGCCTCCTTTCATTCTATTGTCTTTGATCCTGTCTTTAGATGCTTCTTGGCGGGAGATAAAATATTAGTTGATTGGAAAACACATTGCACTAACATTTACAGAGTATAAAGTAGGTGGGTTGTAACCAAATTCACTTTTAATTTGATCGGGAACTGAACTCCGCAGGCAGTACTGGCTGATTTGAATTTCTACTACCAGCTATAAACTGTGAAACAGCTGGGCCCAAGACCCGGGACTCACACACAGGGAATGCTGTGCTGTAAACCAGAGTATGTAAACCTGTAGCCAGAGTATACATGTAGATGTCCGTCCACCCCCACACTCGTGTGATGTGTGATCACACCCCACAGTCCATGCACACACTATACACATATGTACACATGTAAAGACCAACATAGCCCCCACAGAATGCAGATGTACAGTGTTCGTGTAGATTGTGCACAAAGAATGAACAGGATTCATACACATGAGTGTACAGTGCACCTGTGTGAGTGCTGTTAGCCACCACGCTCATACACACACAGGGGGCATTCATGTGAACACAGCTAGAGCCCATGCATACATGCAATGTGCCCTTGTTACATGCACTCTGCAGACCATGTGCAGGGATGTTTGCATGGCATAAAAATATGTAGACATTTATATGTGATGCGCATACTACACTTGTACAAACCACCCACAAATATACGCATGGTTTACATACATGTTGCACATATGATGGGTACTTCAGGCACAAACATACACACTGTGTATCACGAGCACACAAGCACACATGCACACACCCATATATCACATATACAATCTGTGTATCCATGCTTTCAAGTGAACATAAAGCCCTCCCCCTCCCTCTCTTCCTTCCTTCCTCCCTCTCAGTCACTGTCCCTTCCCTCCCCAGTTTTATTTGTAGCTAACACTCCAGCTGAAGGGTGGCCAGCCCCCCACTTCCTCAGACTGCACAGTGTGCTCCAGGGACATCTGTCTACTCACTGTTTTTTGTGCTTCTTCTCTTCCCGTCTTTTGCTTTTAGGGCTACAGGAGCTAAATAAGAAACAGCCAGTTAATTGGAAGAGGAAAACAAAGCAAAGCGCCAAATGCAGTTCAAGACTGAACACAAGTAGGTTGTTCTAATGCCGGTGACTTTATGCAGTGAGTTAGGCAGGTGATCCTGGCTCATGTCCCTGTGCTGAGGCTGTGGAGGAGGCCAAGCACCCTCTGGAAGGTTAATAACAGCAATGGTAATGAAGGTCACAGTGGCCACACCTGCCATGCTGGGCAATCAGCACTGTGCTAAATCCTCCTACTCCATGTGAACAATCTCACGCTGTTGTCCCCATTACCTCTGGGCGGAAGCGTAGCTTGTAAGAGCCCATTTTAGAGTAGTGGAAATGAAGCCTCCACTGAGGCAAGATCACACAGCTGAGATGGTGTATGGCCCAGACCAGGGTCTCCTGTGACGGCTGGCCAATCAGTATAGAAGGGAATAGAATAGTCACAGAGATAGATGAAGGCAGACTGGGTTTGGTAGATTATGAAACATTCTGGTCATGATTATTCAAGTACCAGAGCACTGGGTGGGGTGTGGATAGAATGAGCAGTGATGAGCCAGGGTCCCAGTGTAGACAAGCAGAAGTCTGAGAAAGTGAGCCTGCTAACTCAAGCCAGATTAACTCTACTGGTTCACCAAAACCCTGAGGTCCTGGAAGGGGGTGGGGCATTAATTTCATCTAATGACACCACACCAAGTTTGAGTCCCACCTCTGCTGCTCAGGTGAATGGCATCAGACAAGTGACCTGCTCTCTCTGAGACCACTTGCCTCAACTCTGCAAGGAGGAAGCCACAGCTTAAGTTGTGTAACCAGTGACGCTGGTAATGGCAGCTTACTCATCCATGGACACACGGAGGCTTTGCCTTCTCCGAATTGCTCTAGATGTGGCCATTGTTACTGAAGAAGCCACTATCACTTATAGACATCCCCTAGCAGACAGATTTGGCTTTGAATTTTGGCTGTGGTCTTGGTCTCCCTTGTTTTAGTCTCAGTTTCTCAATCTGTCAAGTGGGAACCATAAACACACCCACTGCTGAAGGTTGAGATGGGTTGTGCAAAGAGCTAGGTGTAGGGCCCCCTTAGTATGAGTCCCTGTAGGTGGTAGCTTCACGTTGCTCCCGCCATGTTCTCTATTTCTTGGCCTGATAGAAGAAGGCTATGGTGAAGTAATGGGGTCCGTGTCTCCTAAGAGCCTTGACTTTCAGTTTCTGGGCAGAGCTTGGTCCAGGAGCAATGCACGGCCCCAAAGCAGGGTGTAACGGTTCTGGGAAATCAACACAGGCTTTCATTGTGGAGGGAACTGAGGCTCAGGGAGACGGAAGGGACGACAGTGATGGAAGCCCACCCAGGCAGCTGTCCAGAGCAAGCCTGCTGAAGCCCAAGGCTGAGTAAGCATCCAGAAGCAGCGAGAGTCTTACCTGTGTCTCCTCTTCTTGGAAAAAGACCTGATTCGAAGGAAAGGGGGGGTGATGACAGAAGGAAGGGGTCAGGAAGGGGGTGAGAAGGGGGGTGGGAGGGGAGAGAATAAACACAGGTGAGTCTTAGCAATCTTCCTGGATGATGCTCTAGTGATAGACTCTTGCCTGGCAGGACTCAGGACTCCTAATCAAACCTCCTCCCGCATCAGTTTTTGAAGAACTCTAAGTCCACACAGGAAACGCCACCTGCCTTACGTACTGATTTCAGGTCGACTCCACCAATGCACATGACAAATTGCCAGCAAGCCTCTCTGGGATAAAGGGAGACCGGGAGGCATGGGAAAGTGCTCTGTGCTCCCCAAGTCCTCTCATCACTAGGTTGTAGATTTCTCCTCTTCTTCCTCCTCCTCTGCCCTCCTCCTGCCCATCCCCCCCTCCTCCTGCCCATCCCTCTCCTCCTACTTGTCTCCTCCTCCCCCTGCTCCTCCATGTGCAGAACCCCTGCTGTGCATCAGGCTCTGTGCTTAGCCCTGGGCATATACAACTTTATTCATCCATTCCCAAGGCACCTATGGAGGGCAGTGAGGATCAAAATTTATTACCCTCTCCCAGGCTTCCCTTCTACTTCTCTCCCACAGCGGTTTGCAGCAGTTTCTGGGTCCAGCAGGCTCCTCTCTCTCCGAGGCGCCTGGGTGAGTGAGTGACTGAGCTCCTCCTTGGTGGAGCCCAGAACTCTCCCGCCTGAACTCACCATTGACCCAGTGAATAGGAGCAAATTGAAAGCATACCTGGGTTTTGCTCATTGTCTTATTTCTGGGGCTTGTGAGGGTGAAAATGAAGTTTTTAAAATGGTCTCAAACCCTGATATTAAGAAAAGGAAAGGCCCAATGCTTCTCCTGTCGCTAACTGCCACCTCCTAAACCATCAGCCGTCATTAGCCAAACATTTCATGAACATGGACTTGGAGAAGCTGGGCTGGGATAGGGGTGCCCTGGAGGAGGCTTTAGGAAGGGCCAGAGTGTTCGTTCTCATTCTCCCACATTCCCCTCTCTCTCCAGGGTCTCACTAAATTGCCCAGACTGGCTTTGAACTTGTGACCTTCTTGCCTCAAACTCATAAGTAGCTGGAATTACAGACCTTGAATGGGAAGTCACCTGGATTTTGAGATTGAGGTGTGGAAAAGCCCCCCACACTGGGACCACCTGCTCAGCACAGGCAGGTGACAAGTGCCCACCTACACTCATGAGCATGCCTGCCCTTGCCTTAGTATCAGACTCCATGGTCTATATGTATGTATGCCTGCATGTGTGTTTATGTTTGTGTGTGTATGTGCCTGGATGTGTGTGTATATGTATGTGTGTGTGTATGGATGTGTATATATATGTACGTGTGTGCATGCATGTGCATATATAAATGTATATGTGTGCATTTGTGCATGAATGTATGTAAATATATATGTATGTGTATGCATATGTGTAAATATGTATGTGTGTATGCATGTGTGCATGCATGTGTGTGAATAGTAAACACCTGGACTGAGAGTCCAAGTCATAAGAGGCCTTTCCGTGACTCTCACTGTTCCCACCCAAGGTGGGGATCCCCGAATGTCATGTTCTTCAACATGACCCTGCCTGCCGTCTATGGCATAGCTGGAACCACACACAGGCCTTTTGGAATAATGATGAAGATGTCATTGTCTGCTTCTGGCTTGGCCTGATGTGGCAGAAACGGGGCAGGTACAGCCCCCTCCCTGCAAGGACCAAGAAGCAGGAGGAGCAGCCTGGGTTCTCTTAGCTTTCCAGTCCTTATTCCCAGCTCAGCCTGGGTTCTCTCAGCTTTCCAGTCCTTATTCCCAGCTCGTCTTCTAGGTCTGGCAGGTCCCTCAAGCCCTCCTGCTTTCTTCTGATCAGTTCCCCTTTCTGGTCAGAGTTAGAGCTAATGGATCTCTGTTTCTCCCCCCCACAAGTCCCAACTCACACTGATGCAAACACATGACAAAACGGAGATAGAGTGGGTGTGCTACATAGATGATGAGTGTGCTACATAGATGATTTGAAGCTCGTCCTGTGGCCCTGCTGCACCTGGGGTGTCCCTGTCTGTGAAGGAGGAGGACAGTACCTGTGTCTCTTACGCTTCTTGGAGCTTTTCTTCTTCTTCTTCTTGACTGGCGATGGACTGTAGGATGGGGACCTGTGGGGAGGGAGACATGCCTCTGTTGCTATGGGTCCCTTTCCATCTTTATACAAGGTCTCACTCTTTTTTTTGTTTGTTTGTTTTGGTTTTTCGAGACAGGGTTTCTCTGTATTGTTTTGGAGGCTGTCCTGGAACTTGCTCTGTAGACCAGGCTGGCCTTGAACTCACAGAGATCCACCTGCCTCTGCCTCCCAAGTGCGTGCACCACCAAAGCTACAAGGTCTGACTCTTTGAGGGACCATATTCAGAGACAAACCCCCTACTGATAGCTTGCATTTGTATCAGAAGTCATGTGCCCGCCCCCATTTAATCTTTCTTAGGTTGATACAATTGCTTTCCTTCCATTTTCGGGGGGAAAAAAGGTAAGGTAGTGACCTACTCAAAAACACACAGCCAAGACATGGATGGTCTGAGATTCGAACCAGGTTCTCTCTGTTCCCAGGTTTGTTCGTTATAACAGCATAACTACCTTGGTTAAATCTAAAAGACTTTCTTGGACTCACCAGTGGCTTTCCCCACAAGCTCTGATCCTCCCACATTCTATGGTCTGATCTCTGCTGTCTCCTTGGTAAGCTCTGTCCCTGAAATCACAGCATGGGTGGGGCCACCAAAGGGGCACCTGGGAAACAGTTACCCTCTCTAGGGCCATGGTGATGACTCAGCCTGATGCTAGGGTAACCTTATTTCCCATCTTGACTCCACCACCAGCTCACAGGCCCTCTGGGAGAATCACAGCTTGTCTCTTGGTTTATTTCCTCACACGGGCTGGAAACAGAGGCTGCAAGCTCGGGCGGGGGGAGGGTTGGGGCTCAGTGTGAGAATGCAACCCCAGTCTTCCACAGCAGCGGCCTCCTCCATAGAAGGTTCCAGAAATCAGTATTTTCTTTTGGAACACCTCAATTTTCAAAGACTACCCTACCACTAATGTTATTTTCTAAAAAAACAAACAAACCCCAACAACTTGGCAGACTAAACAAAACGGGTCAGCAAAGAGAAATGGATGGGGGACAACTCAACACTTTAGGAACCGCAGACACTTGGTGGAGGAATAGTGAGGGAACCCCACGTGTGCTGTTTCCTCCTCTAAGTTCTGCACACTTCTAAAATAGGGACCTCAATTCACTTCGAGTTCACCCCCTACCTTACAATGGCTGGAACGATCCTGAGTCCTACTTGGGTCGGCCACTAAGAGGCAGCTAAGCAGGTATGATGGCAAAACCCCTGCAAACCTGGGGTCCTGGCCCGCCAGGTCCAGGTATTGCTCTCTGCTGCCCCCTGCAGGCTTCTATGAACACTGCCTAGGAGGTTTGGTGTGATTCCTCCGCCTCCTGCCGCCCCCTGGAGCCAGAGCACTAGACAAGGTTTTACGAGGGAATCTGGAAATATCTTAAAGTATAAAAACGTCTCGAAAGAATTGCATGTAGAAAGAAATTAAAGAAGTTAAAAAGAACCTCGAACTGCTATTGGTGTTAACCCTGGGTCTGGAGAGGAATCCTGGGAATCAAGTCCAAGGCAGATTTTTGACACCCCAGCCTGTGAGCCTTTATCATCTCATTTCTGAAATGGGCATAATAATGCTTGCCTGGCAGAGCGTGGCCGGGAGTGAAAGGAAGGTGGGTAGCAAGGTGCTTCTGCACTCTGTAAGTTTCAGCCTCTCAAGTTCAACGTCCATGGTAATAACAGCTTCTTACTAATTGGTCATACACGATTGCTTAACACGGTGTCAGCTGCCTCTGTATTTTCCTCCCACGCTTCTTTTTTTGTGATACAGGGTCTCACTTTGTGGCTCAGGCTGACTTAGAAGGCACTATGTAACCCAGGCTGGCCTCAAACTCACAACAATCCTCCTGCCTCAGACCCCCCAAGTGCTGTTATTACAGGCATGAGCCACCATACCCAGAGTCATTTCTCTTCTAATTCGCACAAAATCCCAAGAGGTTGGTATTATTATTATTATTTTTAGAAGAGGGGAACAAAATGCATAGGAAGGTGAAACCCAAGGTCATACAGGTAGTTAAGAGGCAAAAAAGGAGTTTGAAGCCAAGTGGAAGTCACTGCCAGACTGTAAACCTTTATTCCCTTTATCCAGACTGTAAACTTTATTTCCCCTATCCAGACTGTAAACCTTATTCCCCCTATTCAGACTGTAAACCTTATCCCCCCTATCCAGACTGTAAACCCCTATTTCCCCTATCCAGACTGTAAACCCCTATTCTCCCTATCCAGACTGTAAACCCCTATTTCCCCTATCCAGACTGTAAACCTTATTCCCCCATCCAGACTGTAAACCTTTATTCCCCCTATCCTGTCCCTTTCCCTTCTCTGAGTCTTTGAAATTTCATCTCCCTTCAGGACCCTCACCTCCTTCTCTTCTTCCTGGTCGATTTCTTCTTTTTCTTTTTCCCCCTGGAGGAAGGTGGTGGTGTCAGGTCTCTGTCTTGAGAGGCACTGTGGAAAGGGAAAGTGACACATGAGAGGGTTCCTTGGCTCCCTGTCACAGCCAGAGAAAGGGAGAGGACCCAGCTCCTTGGGGTGAATCAAGGACCCATGGTGAACATCTAATTGCCACCTCATGGCTGATTCAGTCACACCTCAGATTAAATGTTTCAAATAAGGACTTAATGCCCACCTAATGAGACAGACACTGTAGTTACCCAAATGCCAATTGATTATTTAAAACAAGGTTTATAGAGGTTAACTGCCCCTTAATAGATTTATTATTGGATTTGCAAATGGCTCACCTCGGTAAATAAATCACTTTAAAAAAATAATGAATTGGCAGTTCGGCCCACTCCCTCCCCAAATCGTCCGTCTACACCTCCAGCTGTAAATTTCACAGGAGGCAGAAGGTGTGTTGAGTGGAAGCTGATCATTAAAAGTGTATTTGCGTGGGTCTAATGTAACAAGATACATATCTTACATCGCTTCACAGAACCTCAAAAACCTCCGTGCTTCAGGAATAATTATTTCCCGTTCAATTAAATTCAAACACTCAGGCTGCAGTTAAATGAAGTCAAGTTATCTTCTTTTATAATTGGGGCAGGCTCCAGAGATTAAGAACAGTATCCTATAGCAAAGAGAGACAGCTATGGATTGAAATCTGCTTGAGAATGGAAACATGTAAGCTCAGTTGGCCTTTACTGGAACAATTAAGATTATTAATTATTTTATTTTAGTAGCAACAAAACCAGCACTGAACTGATATATATGTATGTATGTGTATATATATGTACACACACACACACTGTACCAAGAGTTTTATATATTTTGACATAAATTTTGGAAGGCAGTGTCTTTTTCTTTTCTTTTCTTTAACCTGCCCCCTTGGGAGTGAACTCAGGTCTTTGTAGTTACAAGGCAGAGCACTTAGTCGAGAAAGGCCCCTCTAGGTCGCCAGTATGCTGCTGCTTACTTCATTTCACAGGTGAAGGAAATGAGGTCCAGGGAGTTGAGCTCACTTACAGTCAGGAATCATCTATGGTGGGATCTGAACCCCTGTGATTCCTGCTTTGAGAGTTGCCTCAAAACCCCAGCTGCCTTCTGGAGCTATTTGTGCAGCTAGTAAGACGGAGCAGGCCCAACTCATTAGAACATCATAAAACGTTGTCATATTTTATTCCATTTGAAGAATATGGATCATCAGAGTTAGCAGGAGGGGATGATGGGGGATAAGAGCATATGTTAAGGCCTCTGCTCCACCAACAAGTGAACACACACACACACTCACAATGCATGCTTTTAAGAGAGTCACTTTTAGAAAGTTAAAAATAAACATCGTAAGAATGTTTAAGCATTAAATCTCTGGCTACCAAATCACCCCTACATGCTACAAAGCACCAAGCACAATAAACCATCCAGAAAATGAGCCAGCTGCCTTTAAAGGCACAGTCAGTCACTTCCAACTTTCTTTCTCCAACGAGTACTTGACTTCCAGCAAAAACCCAGTGAGCATTTGCCAAATGACCACGTGATGGATGAAGGAGTCTGGCTGTGTGCTGTGTGTTTCATAGGGACACATCTTCTGGGAATTTGGGGGGTGGGGTAGGAAGTTGAAAAGCATGTTAGAAATTAGGAAAGAGTTCATTCTTAGGACCAAGAACTCTATCGTCTAGACCCCTAAAGTCTAAGAGGCAAGTCATCTGGGAACCAGTGTCCTAGACTCAGGCTAAAACAATAGGGTAAGTTGAAAAGCCTTTAAATCCAGTAGCCCTGAAGTCTATGAGGTAACAATGTACCAAAGTCTTCACACACAAGCACTCACATTTCCCCATCTCTTTCCCCTACCCTGGTTGTACCAAGTGCGTCACAGACTAGCAGCAAAGCACACATGCTGAGTGATATGTAAAGGGGTTGGGTACCGGCATCCACTGAGTTTCGTGTATGATGGTCAATTACAGCTGCTACAGGGGCAGACTGAAAGTTCAAGTAACTGAGTGTGCAGTGGTTAAGTCCACACTGTGAAAGAGTCAGAGAATTAGTGGGCAGAGGCTAAGCACACACGATTGAAGATGAGCACTCAGTTACACGTCTAGTTTTAAAGTGTGCGATGGTTGAAGATGTGGCGGTCATGGTTCCCCGCACAGTGGCTGAGCTTGCAGAGGTTAAAGGTGAAGACAATGGCAGTAAGAGATAATTGTTCTAGAAACTCAAAGACCTGGATCTGTACTCTAGTCCCCTTCCTAGCTCAGAGACTTTCTGACTTGTATTGTCACCATCTAAGAGGTGGGAATTAAACCAGGTACCTGGGTCATAAGTTTGCTGCTACATGCCTTGGCCTGGTACTGAGTACATTTACAGCTAACATGCCACGTTAGAGTCACACACCATGTAATGTCATTCCGATAGATGAGATGGTTGTCCTATTAGTTTGATAATGGAACTGAAATCCTCCAATTGACTGATGGTCTTGCAACACAGGGTGTTGCTCATGCATGTGTGGTGATGTTGGAGGGGGCAACCCACTGTGTTTTTAGTCTGGTAAACTACAGTGTGGATAATTACGTGCAGATTATAATGGTAACAAAGGGCCGGGTTATGTAGTCACTCTATTTTTATTAACAGTACAGAGAAATGCTGGCTTTAGGCAGAAGCCTTTCTACTTCTGTATCTGCTCTATATCCTGATTTCACTGTTGGCTCTTATGTTTGATTGAATCCTTGCTGCCCTCAGAGCTGTAGGATACACTGTGTCTGTGTAGATGTGAAACACAGCTTAGCTGTAGGATACACTGTGTCTGTGTAGATGTGAAACACAGGTCAGGTATGAGCTGTAGGATACACCGTGTCTGTGTAGATGTGAAACACAGGTCAGGTATGAGCTGTAGGATACACTGTGTCTGTGTAGATGTGAAACACAGGTCAGGTATGAGCTGTAGGATACACCGTGTCTGTGTAGATGTGAAACACAGGTCAGGTATGAGCTGTAGGATACACCGTGTCTGTGTAGATGTGAAACACAGGTCAGGTATGAGCTGTAGGATACACCGTGTCTGTGTAGATGTGAAACACAGGTCAGGTATGAGCTGTAGGATACACTGTGTCTGTGTAGATGTGAAACACAGGTCAGGTATGAGCTGTAGGATACACTGTATCTGTGTAGATGTGACACACAGGTCAGGTATGAGCTGTAGGATACACTGTGTCTGTGTAGATGTGTCACACAGGTCAGGTATGAGCTGTAGGATACACTGTGTCTGTGTAGATGTGAAACACAGGTCAGGTATGAGCTGTAGGATACACTATGTCTGTGTAGATGTGTCACACAGGTCAGGTATGAGCTGTAGGATACACTGTGTCTGTGTAGATGTGACACACAGCTTAGCTGTGGGATACACTGTGTCTGTGTAGATGTGACACACAGCTTAGCTGTGGGATACACTGTGTCTGTGTAGATGTGACACACAGCTTAGCTGTGGGATACACTGTGCATGTGTTGCTGTAGCTGTGGCTGTAGCTGTAGTGTAAGCTCAGGTGTAGACTGCTACATCTTCTGGGTTTGTGTAAGTCCTGTCTCAGGTGTTTGGACAACAACGTCTTCTGAGGACAGACTCTTCAGAGCGTGTTCCCATCATTAAGTATAACCAGTGTGACTTTTCTTATCACTTATTTGATAGTTACTAATTATCATCATAACTGTGGTTTTTAATTCCCCAGAGAATCAGTCACAGACAGAAGAGGACTAGAGGCCCAGACACTGTATGGCTCAGTTGATAAGATGACAGCATCATTTTTTTCCCTTTAGATTTTCATTCCCAGAAACCCCTCCTCCCCTGCTCCCTGATGCTCTTAACTAGAATTTTTAAAAGGATCTCCTATGTCCCATATCTACTACCAGGAACCACAGGTACCAATTAAGGTTTGACCCTGAAATGTCCCCCCAGCTCATGTCTGAACCCTGCTTCCCAGGTGCAGCTGTTTTGGCGAGGCCAGGTGAGGTTTAGGAGTTGGAGCCTGGATGATAGAAGTGGGTCATCTCATTGGAGGTGGGCCTTTGAAGGTTATGCCTGACCTAGCTCTGATCTGACTCTCTTTCTCTCTCTGCACTCTGTCCTGGCCATTTGCTGTCACCTCATACACTAACTGCCACTGAGGGACAATTCTTTTAGACCTTTCTCACCATGATCATGAGAAATACCCCTGAAACCAGGATCCAAAATAAACCTATCCTTTCATTCTCTGTTTCTATTGGATACTCTGGTGAATAGAGCAAAGTCACTATGAAGTGCCTGATCTATATCAATGCTCGACTCCACCTTCAGAAGGAGGTTTCCATAGTCCCATTCACAGCTGTTTAACCGAGGTGTGGACCAGAGTTCAAACATACTGCCAACATTAAACAAACAAACACAAGCTTTATGGTGTTGCTTGTGATCAAAGCAAAGGGCAAGGAAACAGATGCATATCTGGGGCTTACTAGCTAGGTAGCCTAACAGAATGTGTGAGCCCTGGGTCCTTGTGAGAGACCCAGTCATGGAAAGCTAAGTGAGCTGTGCCTGAGGAATAACACCTAAAGCTGACCTTTGATTTCCACATACCCCATGCACTACTCCATTGTGCACCTACAAACACACACAGGCACGGCACACACTCACACATACACTCATGCACATACACTCATGCACATACACATATGTACACACATTCTCACATACATTCACATATAAACATGCAGGCATATACATGGATGCACACACACTCCCAATACATACACACATACTCACACATGCATACATACACATATGATGGTATCATGAGTACATTTAGATGAGACAATAATGGACTGGGTTGTGTGTATGTAAGATAGAACATTCAAAACCAAGAGGTAGAGAGTGCATTGGCCCCTCCATTATCAACTGTAGGCTTAGTTTAGTTAAGTTAAAAAGACCATGCTTTATCCATTTGGTTAGTTTTTTATTATTAACATGTCTGAGTATGGGAATACATACACATGTGTCACGGTACACATACTAAGATCAGAAGACAATTTGCAGACATTGGTTCTTTCCTTTTACCATTTTAGGACCTGGGGATCTATTCCCAGTAATTAGGCTTGTCCCTTCTACCATGTAGGACCTGGGGATGTAATCCTGGTCATCAGGCTTGTTCCTTCTACCGTGTAGGACCTGGGGATCTATTCCTAGTCATCAGGCTTGTTGCTTCTACCATGTAGGACCTGGGGATCTATTCCTAGTCATCAGGCTTGTCCCTTTTACCATGTAGGACTTGGAGATGTACTCCTGGTCATCAGTCTCAGAATAGTCAGTGAGCATCTTTTTTCTACTGTGCTATCTTGATGGCCCAGCTAGAGTTTAAGACTCCACTGTTTTAACTTCCTGGTTAACATATCTTAGTCATCATTTCACCTTTATGACACTTATCAGTGTCTAGCACAGCACCTGTCATTTATCAGGGACAAAAAAGTCAGTGTCTGAGTAGTTAAGTTAAGGAACAAGTCTGAAGCTCAGGACACAAATATGGGTTGAAATTATTATTTGAGAGTCCAGGGCTCACAGATAATCAAGAATTAACTCTATCATTAAATGTGAGGGTCTTGCCTGACCAAGGACCCGGGTAGTGAGTGGTAAGGCTAGAATATCAGTTTGATTGGATTGAGTGATACCCATGAGATGGGTGTGTCTGTGAGGGTGTTCCAGAGATGATTAACATATGGAAGATCAAATAAGAAGGGAAGCCCTGAATGCAATGATGTGTTTTGGTGGGCTTGGAAGGAACAAAGGTAGAAAAAGGAAGAGGCCCAACTGGAGAAGGAGTGAAGGCGTCCCCCTCTCTCCGTCTTCCCCTTTCCCCTCCCTTCCCTCTCTCTTTCTCCCTCTCTCCCTCTCCATCCTGTCTCACCATGCACAGTCACAGAAACAACCAAGTGACCATGGAACAAAGTCTCTGAAGCCATGAGCCAAAAATAACTTTCATTTTCATAAGTCCTTGTCACACTGATGGAAGTCTAATTCACACAAACCGAGTCTAGCTTGCCTCCTGCTTTTAGAAAATACATTGCCATTAGAACTCGTGTACTGTATTAGATTTAGTGCCTGCATCTAAACAGTTGTGGCCAAAGCCATTGGGTCCACAAACCTAAAACATCAGCCCGCTACAGAAAGCATCTGTTAGCATATGACACGCTCTCAAAGAGGAACTTGGAAAGGAGAAGGGGTCAGAAAGGAGGACTTGGCTTCCCCACACCCAGCTTTCACTGGCTGTTGGCTCTGAAGGAGGCTGTGTCTCTCACCTGTGTGCTTGGGCAGGACCCAGCTCCCTGCAGGGCTCCTCTCTTTCCCAGCTGTTCGTTCCAAAGGTCTCAGTGGCCAGATGGTGGCTCAGCTTTTCTGAAGGTCCACCCTGGGCTGGGACCAAGAGATTGCTTTGGGGCTCTGTCCTGCAGGGGAAGAAAGGAGGTAAAGTGTTAGGATATTTGGAGTCATTTCATTAAATATTCAGAACAAAGGTTTTGCTAGCCTCCTTCCTAGATGGAGGTCATGAGATTATCATGGCCTTTTTCTCTCTGAGTGGAGTAGGGGGTCATTTCTAGTTCAAGGCAGCTAAGATCCACACATCTCTTTCTGCCTCAGTGACTTTGAAGGCTACACACTCTGAAAGTTGAAGCCACTTGGAGGAGGAGAGAGATCTGAGCTTTAGTAATTTCATAAGAGAGAAATGGGCTGGATTAAGTTGCTAAGTCTCAGAGTTCACTACTGCAGCTTACCCCATCCTGTCCCGACTAGAGTATGGAAGGTCTCAGAAGTCAGCACTCACACTCGCTCTCAAGATGCTGGACACTGAAGCATGGAAGGAATAGTTTAACTCCCCTTGACCCCTCCTTTTTTTTAGACTCTATTTCTCTGCATTGTCTGTCACCTCTTATCTATAGTTTGGGTTTTCCTCCCATAAACCAATAGTCAACCAAGCCCCAAAAGTATTAAATGGAAAAATTCCACAAACAGATCATAAGTATAAACATGTACTTCTCCGAGTAGTACAATGACACCTTGTACTGTCCTGCTGTCTCCTGCTTGGGACATGAGCCATCCTTTTATCCAACATATCCATACTGTATATGCTACCCAACTGTGAATCACTTAGTGGCTATCTTCAGCAGATTAACTAACAGGGTACTTGAGTACAGTGACCAAGTCACCGTTTTTGTACTTAATAATGGCCCTAATGTATGAGAGAGTAAGACTGGATTTTTGAATATGCCAAGGGGAAGACATAGGTGCTCCCATTTTATGAGACGGTAAAAGCACAGTACGATGTTTTAAGAGAGAGAGGGATCACATTTGTAGTATATTATTTCTTGGTTATCATTATTAACCCTGCACTATACCCAATTTATAAAAAAAACCTTTTTATAGACTCACATGTAAAGGGAGAAACATGATGTGTACAGTGCTGGAACCTCCTAGTTTCCAGGAGTCCACTATGGTCTTGGATGTTATTTTGATTGGATATGCAGGCAGAGGGTCAGGGGGATTGAATGCTTGAATTTGGACACTGCCTTCTCCACTCAGCATCTGTAGTACCCACAGCCAGCTATTGAACTCCTGAATTACAAGTCCCTCAGCAATGAAGTAGAGAACACCACCAGTCCCTAGACTGTTGACATGACATGAGTACAAAGATAACTTATGCTAACCAAAAGACCTAGAAAAATAGCTTTTATCTTGGTTATACTTTCTTGAAAATCAGCCAGTCTGGTATCTCTTGCAGGGGTGAGGTCACCTACCTGGAATAGCAATTCCCTTAAAGACTTAATGTTCTCTCCTCTTGTCAAACAATTTGTGGGAGTCACTAACATACTTTGCCTATTTAAGTCTGAGGAAGGGACAAGTGATTTCCTAGTCACTTGGTCTTTGTGACTCTTGTTACTCAAAGTCCTGGATCCAAACCTTCTTGGACCCAGGAGCTTGAGAGTCGAGGGTCTGTCTTAGTTCATTCTATGTTCCAACTTTGGGTCAAGCATAGATTGATCAGTCATCCTCGGCTCTTCTGCACAGGCTCCTGCCAGTTTTATGACTCACAATGAAAGCATCTGATAAGCTCTCTGATCCTTAGGGATTCCAAGGAGTGAGCCAAACCCAGTCAATAGGGAAGCAAGGGCAGAACAACACATTCATCTCTGCCAGCTGCTTATTGGAGCATCTTCAGAAGCAGAGCTGGGAGTCACTGCCAGCCAAGGAGGAATGGAAATCCTAATCAAGGCTGCCTCCTTCCTGGTCCAAGCTAACCCACATTCATTATCTCTAAACCTCAGTGCCGGTTCTCGGTGTGGGAATGCAGTGACCCAATCAGGGATGATACTGTGACCATGAAGTCTATATTCAGATGGCAGAGGAAATCATTATGACTTAACTGTGAAAACTGTGACTTATTGAATGTGACCAATTAGGATGTGATAGAATAGCATAAAGGGTTGGGAAGGCAGCAGAGTGCCTATGGCCCCTGTGATGAGCAACAGGGACAAGGGAACTTGCAGAATGAGGTGGCCTAAAATGTATTCACAGATTGATTGATAGATACTATTGCCAGCTATACACTCTTCCCTGAAACACTACATGGGCTTAATGACTCACTTGCCATGAATACAATGGTAGTGATCATGGATGACCCTCCCCATTTTTTGGTAGGGTTTCTTCTGCCTGTAGCCCTGACACTCCTTCTATAGACAAGGCTGGCCTTGAACTGTCAGAGATCTCCCCCACCACCACCCGGAAATGCATGACTTTCAAACTACATCACCAGGCAATGTTTGTCTTGTTCTCCTTGATTGATCCCTTTAAGGTGAGGACCATCATCTGCCATGTTGTGTTGTAAGAACACTCAGCCCCACGGAGAGGCCTGCTGCCAATAGCTATCACCAGCATCCCACCAGGTAAGTGAGCAGGTGGGTAGGAGGCCCCTGGAACATAGCAAGCTTTAGGCTGAGGGCACAGCCCTTGAGGCATCTGATGACAACCTCATGAGATGTGCTGAGCCAGAATTTTCAACTCACAGAAACCACGAAACCCAGTTGCTTGCTGGGTTTGTTTTTAGCTACAAGGATTGGGAGTGATTTTTTGTTTGCACAATACTACCTCCCTTCCTCAGAGGTATCTGCAGAAATGGGGAGGTATATGCCCGTCAGAAGGACTCAAATTCAAAGACCTCATCACACTCAGGAATGGCAAGAGGTGAGATCAGAGATGAGGTCTTCACAGTGACATTTCTGCGATTGTGTACCAGGGGATGCACTAGCTTGCTCTTTTTCTCCAACAGTACTAGTTTCAGCTTTCTGGACTGGGGTACCCTACTGGGAAATTCGCAGTAAAGCAAACAGAAATACAATAAATTCTACAGGAAGAACTGAAGGGAAGGACAGGGCCCTCCATGATAGAACATTTAAAACCTTATTGTAGACATCCTAACACTTTTATTTTTTGTGACCCAGCTTCTCCCTGCCTCCCTCTTTCTACCTGTCTACACGTACACACACACACACACACACACACACACACACACACACACACACACACACACACACACAGGTTCCATTCTGAGACAGGGCCTCTCACTGGGGCTTGCTGAGGTTTAGGCTCAATGTCCAGTGAATTTTGGGTGTCTTCCTGTCTCCACCCTTCCAGAACTGGGATTTCAAGTGTATATTACCACACCCAGCTTCTTATATGGGTCCTGCAGATCAAACACTTGCACACCAAGCACTCAATTAGCCAAGTCATCTTCCAGCTCTGTTCAGCTTCCTTAAAACCAGAAGAGAGAGTTCGAGCTTAAAATCTGATATTCCCCGAATTTGGCATAATATCAAAGTTCACAATGAGGTTTCTGAATGAGGTCCGGGGACCCATTGTAGATGCAATGAACGAGAGTCTGAAATAGATAGGCCCGGGAATCTACACACTAAAAGAATAAAATCACAGATAGCCATTTGTCAGATCAAGCACAAAATCCAAAGATGCCATATGATCTGTCTTCAGTCGCACCCCGGCATCCTTCCCTGCTTTCCCATCCTTCTGGCCATATGGTCTTCTTACTGTGTCTCACATGGGACAAAACTTGCCTGCCTCGGAGCCTTTGCACTTGCTGCCCCTCCCCCTGCACCTGGCATGCAGCTTGCCTGGTCATCTCCTCAGGCTCTCTCAAGGGTCTCCTTTGCAGAGAGCTATTCCCGACTTCCCCATCTCACCCTGTGCCCTCTTCACCAATGGTAGGGACCACATGGGGATTAGTGAGTTCAGTATTCTTCTTCACTGATAACTTCTTTATGTCCTTTAACTGATAATCTTCTGGGCAAGGACATGAGTTCTTGAGGTAGGGACTGGTCTCCTTACCATCAAGTAATCAGAGAGTGGCTAGTGGTGCCTCTGTTTGCTGGTGGATAGATAGGTGGATGGATGGGTGATGATGATGGATGGATGGATGGATGATGATGATGATGGATGATGATGGATGTGTAGATGTATGGGTGGATGGATGGATGAATGGGTGATGAACAGGTGAATTCTGGGCACCGATTCTATACAGAAACTCTAGCTCGGGCTCTGCCCCTTCTTACCAATCAAGGTGCTGAGTTGGCAGGAGGAAGAGACTGTGAAGCATACTGCCCTTCACTGAAACCAGACCTCAGTCCCAGCATCTTCCCTGTCTCCAGGCCTGTATCTTTTCAGGGCCTATTTCTGCAGAAGCATGCCCACAGCTGCCCCATCTTCGCTTCATAGTTATTAAATGTTGAGTTTTAAAAAAGTACTTAAAAGAAGACAAGATCTCCAGGGGACAGCTGAGACAGGAAGTCAAGGGCCGGCACACTCCACTTCACAGAGGGAAGGGGAAGCCACGGGTGCTGGGCAACTTGAGACCTTCCTCCTCCCTGCATTCCTGCTACTCAGAGATCTGCCACTGATGGGCTGCTGCCCGTAGTCATGGCAACAAGCAGCCGATTCCTAGCCTCTGATAAGAGTCAGGGGTGAAGTTTCTACAAAATTCTCTAAGACACTTGGATCCCTAGCTGCTGGCTCGCTAATCTATCAAAGCGTCCATGAGTGGAGCAGAGTTTCTGGTCGCTCCCAACAAAGCACTCATTTGGTCCAGGGCTGGAGGCCAATCCTTGTGACCCTAGCCCTAGGCAGAGTTAATAGGGTTTTAGAAACAGACAAACAAGGCTGGATGGTGGGAGCTTCAGAGTCAGGCGACCTCGGTAGAGAGAAGGAAAACCGAGGCCTCGAGGCACAAGGGGGTTGCTTGAGCCTGCGTCGTCAGTCACTCGAGTCAGAGCCGTGCCTGGAGCTGCCGCCTTTTGTCTGCTTGGCCAGCGCTCTTTCTGCAACCCTTGGTCGCAACAACACTTTGCATCTATTTAAGCATCTACTGGACAGCTGACACTGGCGT